CCAACTCTTGGGCTACTCTTTTACCAACGAATAGTGGGATTGACCGTCACATTATAACGCCCCCACGGCTGAAAGGGCGAGCATGTTTGGTGGTATGCGGATTCGAACCCGCGACCCTCAGATTGTGAGTTGAGCGCCTTATCCACCTGGCCATGCCGGGCCCAATTTTATTACTCTGATATAACAGCCAAATTCAAAGTAGGCCTTCATAATTGAGTAGGTAGTATTTATAAAACATCTGCCTCCTTATAAAAATAAAACATTTAAAAACAATACCTTAGGTGCACTCACAGTATTTCTAAAAAGTCCACTCTTTATTATCATTTAAACCAATAACTTTCGGACTACGGTAGTCCATCCTCGGGTGATGATTATAGCCGTCAGATACAGAATTACATTTGAAACAAAACTAACGAAAATTATTTGATAACATTAAATGCAACTTCGACGCCTCAGTCTGTAACTGAACAAAGTAAATTAATTTTTGTTACCATTACGTCACATTCCCCTAAGATATGTTAGAACGGTTGTCATATTAGTTGGTTCCAGCATGAAGACACATCACAGCTAACGTTTCGTGATCGAATCAGTATTTTATGTTCATTACGACACAAAACCTGGACATTTTTCTAAATTATAGTTTCAGTCATTGTGGGGAACACAATTAAGTGCCACTGATCATCCTAATGAAACTACAGATGTAGCTGATCATCGTAATGAAACTACAGAGGCAGCTGATCATCCTAATGAAACTGTACTGATAGCTGATCATCCGACTGAAACTGTACTGGTAGCTGATCATCCGACTGAAACTATACTGGTAGCTGATCATCCGACTGAAACTGTACTGGTAGCTGATCATCCGTCTGAAACTATACTGATAGCTGATCATCCGAATGAAACTGTACTGGTAGCTGATCATCCGAATGAAACTGTACTGGTAGCTGATCATCCGACTGAAACTATACTGGTAGCTGATCATCCGACTGAAACTATACTGGTA